CAACAATCTCTAGAGCAAACACACTCACAGGGCGAAAAAAAAAAGATATAGAGTTGCAACTCATCATAACAAAGGATAAAGTGCAAAAAAAAAACTTTAGGCAATCCCCAATCTGAGACAAATAATTTAGCAGAAAACTTTATTCTGACCACAGGAAAGTAAAAATGGGAACAAAATACTACAACAATAAATGCTGCAAACTGTTCAGCCACATCAATCCAATAAAAAAAAAAGTGATATACACAAAAGGAACCTTGAGTATTACTGGATCACACAGTTGCATCTCCAGTAATGTGGTATACCTCATACAATGCAACAATTGCAACTAGAGATGATCCACTGGTGAAACAGGACAGAAATTACAAAAAAGAAGGAATCTACACAGACATGCCATAAAAGATCGAAGAATGCTAATAGAATTTTTTTTTAAATAAAACCTTTCTGTTTTCATTACATATCTTATTTTAGACAAATTATATCATCACTAGGTCTTTGTTCTTTTTTTATGCAATGCTAGCAGATTAGTGCTGGTGGGGGGGCTTGGCAAGTTGCTATAAATAGTTTCCTGTAAACATCAGAGCACCTTGATACATGCAAGCAGTGGACTGGCTTTTGGTAGAAGTTTTTTTAAGTTAAAAAAGTTTTATTTCTTTTGAAGATTAAATAAAATAAATACAACTGTAGACAGTAAGACTTCCAGCTACACTATTGGGTCTTAATAAAGATTTGTAAGCAGGTTGCATGACACCATACAAAAAGAGTTATAAAACAACAATGTATTTAGTCTGGAAACCATTGAATCATAAGTGGCATCATTTGTCCAATGTGGGCTAAGCAGTTAGTGAAAAAACTGTAGTCAGTAAGTGTACAATTAAGTTCATGTAGCCATTCAGGTAAATATTAGAGCCCGATAGAGAAGAATTCTGTGAGCAATAAACCATACAACAATTAAATCACATGGGTTGGCCCATCTGGTTGTTGACATGGCATCTGAAAATGGGTCAACAACAGAGTCTAAGAAGCTTTATGGTGTAGTGTGATACAAAATGTATTTTTATATTTTCAAAAGTTGAAAATAGTGCAGCCAGTAGCCTCCTGTAGTAGAGGGCTGAGACCTAGGGGAAGCCAAAAGTTTTATTCCTCCAGTCTCCAAGGCGATACATATGGAGGAAGGGTGTTGGGAGTCCCATAGAAATAGAACTTTGAATTCAAGGCCCAGGGGGAAGACAGGATGCTCTATGATGAGTGTCAAAATGTCCTACATATGTAGACACTTCAGAAGCTTTCAAGAGAAAATCCCAGGTTTCCACTAGTGAGGAATCTTAAAAGGTAAATATTATGAATTAGAGTTTGCCAAAGGCTGTAGCCAAAGATGATAGCATGGGAGAACAGGTGAAATTACTTTTTCTACTGCCAATCTTAGTTTATAAAACTCATGAAAACAATCTAAGCTATGTGCAATGGAATGTTTCCTTATACGTAGCAATTTTGATACATGTTTATTGTATATTTTGCAGTGTTACTCATTCTGGTATTATGCTGCTTTTTAGATATTTTTAGATTTCGTTCTAGGTTTAGAATCTGTTGCTTGGTATGATTAACTTAATTGATTTTATAGGTATGTTATGTGCTGTTTATTAATGCTTGGGATCCACTCTTGCAGGTGGTTATTTTAGGGTTTGTTTTGTAACTAGCAACTAGCTATGACTAAGGCTGTGTAGGCAGATATGCGTCAGCTGTTTCTTTTAGCGTGCTGGACTTTTTTCAATAAAGCAATTTATGGAACAGTTGTCTTGTGTCGTTGTTGCATTTACAAGTCTTTGACACCTAGGCAGAGGGAGGCTCAGGATGAGGATACAATGAGCACTAGGTATAGATCATGGGTGCTCAAACTGTGGCCCTCCAGGTGATGCAGAACTACAAATCCCATGAAGCATTGCAAGGCTGACAGTTACAAGCATGACTCCCAAAGGCAAAGGCATGATGGGACAGTATAGATGAACAAGGAAGGAGGTGAATTCTCGACATGATAGCATAAAAGTATACTCATTAGCCCTACAATTAGGGTTTATAAATTTTCTTTTTGAAACATTAAATAATGTAAGGCCCATCATAATTTTTAACTGAGCTAATTTCCAAGAATTAATTTTCTGTACCAGGCTACTTTAAACATTTTGTGTATACACCACTATACAGAAATGTATTTAGCTGTTCAAATGTAAGGACTGCAATTTTATGGAAACTCTGAGCTAAAACTAACAAAAATCACAGCATGGCACCCCACTCTGAACCACAGGCACCTGCCGATTTCCTTCATAAACTTACAAAACAGGACTTCCACTGCAAGCCCATCTTTATTTTTCAGAGAATGTGCAGAATCAACATGAGTCAAAGTGCATTTTGATATTTTCATTCAGCTGTTTTATAGCTGACCACAAACTGTTGCTATGGCAAGCATGTAACCATATTTTTCATCCATTTTCTTGCAAAATTGTTTTTTAAAAATATGCTAACAAGCTTCTGAAAAAAGTTTACTATTGAGAATATGAGCTTCAATGTTCATTCAATTTGCAATTTTAGTGGGTTCAGGTGAGGCCAAAGGGTTTACAAATAGAGATGAGGCTTGCGGTCATATTAGGGGGTTTCCAATTCTTTAGGGCAGTTTCCTGATTTTTATTTTATTTTGGTAGGTTTTTTTAAGCTTCGGGTGCTAATAAAGATAAGTGTACTTTGCTAGCCTAAATAAATATACCAACAAATATTATTTATTTGTTTTAAACTTACTTTTCAACCTTTGTCTTTTATACAGCAATAAATTATCACCAATGCATCTTTACCTTTTGTCTAATACACCATATTTACCAAGCAGGAGTGGCTTCAACGGAGATGAGTATCATGAAGCAACCCTAGCTGGACTGAACCTCCCATTCACCACTGTTTTCAAATGGCAAAAGGCCCATTTCTCCTTCCCAGCAGCAGCTGTTGTTCTTAATGCAAAGGAAGGATTGCCTCAGGAACCTGTTTTACAGTTTTCACAGATAGTACTTTATTAGCTTGCAGGAAATTTTGTAGTGATTGCCAATCGAGTAGCAGGAGGAGTGTTGTGGGTGGGCAGAATGGGAGCATGGTGCTATGGGAAGGAGGGAAGAGTGGCAACATAGAAATTAAGTCAATATATAACCAGGGTTGTCTTCCCAGAAAATGCTTTGAGAGACAAGGGAATGAGGTAGGCAGCAGGGGCATCTGCATAATGTTTGTGAACAGTACCATTCAGTAGGGATGCACCGAAATTTCGGTGGCCAAAACGTTTCGGCCAAAAACACCCCTTTTGGGCCGATATGAAAAAAAGCATTGATACAGATGCAGAAAAAAAAAGCCTCGCCGCCACCCACCCATCGTCGCCGCTGCCCGCCCACCCGCCGTTGCCAGCCCGCTGCTGCTGCCACTGGTCGCTACTTGGTAGTTCTCAGCCTTACCTGAAAAACTATTAAATGATAGCAGTGCTGGGCATAGAGAATAGTGAAGGAAAGATGGCCTCCACGCATCTCTCGCACGTAGTGGTGAATGCATATGTAGGCCATGGCCACATATGTAAATGGTGTTCAAACCACACAGGTGAGGTATCGCCACGAATGTCAAAGCAAGAGCAATATAATTCTCACACTAGACCTCCTCTGTAGAAATTTTTTAAAGCATCATCCATGGAGATTTTTAAGTACTGCAGTTTCACGCCATTCCACAAGCCTGTGCAATTTTAAAGCGTGACATGTTGGGTATCTATTTACTCGCTGTAACATCCTCTTTCATATTTTACAAAAAATGTGGGGTCTATATTATGTTTTGTTTTTTTTTAATCAAAGGGTATTTTTTTCCAAAAAATATATATTCATTTTTAAAAACTGCACATTTCGGTTTCGATTTTCGGCCAACGGCATTTTGAATTTTTGGTTTTGGTTTCGGCATCAGAATTTTCATTTCGGTGCACCACTACCATTCGGTAGTCAAAGGATTCAGAGCAAGAAATCTGTGGACAGTGGTAAAGGAATGCCCAGTGAGTAGATTGAACTGACTTTTGTTCACAGCACGCCACTGCATCAAATGAAGAACAAAAATCTAAGTGCAAGCACAATGTACTCTGATTATCATTGTAGATGTCTTCTTTTACATTTACTGGTTATCGGCAGTACTTTCCTCATGCTGTCACAGCATGTGGAAAGTACTGCCAATAACCGGCAAGTGTGTTTACATTGTGATCAGCTGTGATTGGACTCAGCTGGTCACGTGCTAAAGGGCTGCTGTGATTTGCCCTTTAACGATGTCCAAGGACACAGGGATTACAGAGAGGGCCAGGTGTGCACTGCAGTAGGCACGCAGGGGGCGCAGTTCTGAGATGACGTCATATGACGCCCTCCCAGAACTGATTGACTGTGCTGTAGCCATCATTTGGCTATAGCACGGTCAGCAAGTGGTTAATACATGTGTCACAAAAACTTTAGAGTGCAAAATCTGGTGAGGCTGTACATGGCAACCAATCAGCTTCTAATTTCAGCTCATTCAACTGAGCTCTGAGTAACCACTTGCCCTCCTGAGGATTTAGCCTCCTTCCTGACCAGGCCATTTTTTGCGTCACGGTGCTGCGTTACTTTAACTGACGATTGCACGGCCATGCAAATTTACGTCCTTTTTTTCCCACGAATAGAGCTTTTTTTCAGTGGTATTTGATTGCCTGTGCATTTTTTATTTTGTGTGCTATAAAAAGAAAATGACAATTTTGGGGAAAAAAAACAATATTTTTGACTTTTTGCTATTAAAAAATGTCCAGTAAAAAAATAAAAAAATCTAATTTCATCATAAATTTAGGCCAAAATGTATTCTGCTACATGTCTTTGCTAACAAAAATCCCAATACATGTAAATTAATTGGTTTACGTTAAATTTATAGTGTTTACAAATGGCAGCATATATACTGTTTTGTTTTTTTTTTACTAGTAATGGCAGCGATCAGCTACTTATAGCAGGACTGCGGGACTGCGGTGGGCATTCTGACACTGGGGGGGAACTGACTTGGTGTCACTGACATCCCCAGTGACACCAATACAGTGATCAGTGCTAATAAAAAGACACTGTACTAATGGCACTGGGCAGGAAGGGGTTAACATGTGAGGCGATCAAAGGGTTAACTGTGTGCTGTTTTACTATGAGGTTGTGCACTGTGTTTCACTGTAAGCACACTGCTTTGTATGGCTCTGCTATGCAGAGCCATACAAAGCAGTGTGCAGGAGCTGCCAGGAGAGAGATCTGTATTGTTTCCATACAGTTCTCTCCCCCGTCGGTAATACTCGGCAATCACTGGGTTGTAGAGAGTAATCACCGGGCAGGATTCAGTGATTGACAGCCGAGGCCGTGGATTGGGGAGTGATTAGGGCGCACACACGGCTCGCACGCCCCGTATGCCCCCCCTTTTCCCTGAAAATGTGAAATCACGTATATATATACACGTGACTTTGTGCACCCCTGCCATCCTGTAGCAGTATTTCTGCTATAGGGCGACGGGGGGGGAAAGCGGTTAGAAACCTGGAGCTGCACCAGATTTTGCACCAGTTTTAATAAATCAACCCCCATGTCTTTTGGGAACACTTATCTCCATGCCCGCCCCCCACCCCTCATTTATTGTGACACAAAGACACGAGTTGCATGGCACATTTTTAAACAAACAAATCTATACTGTATGTATACATCTATTTCTTTATATCTATCTATAATACCTGGAGTTACATTTACTAGTAATGCAGTATAACAAACTATTAATAAACATATTCAACCAATCACACATTAAATCATTAAAAAATAAAATCTCCAGGATTGTGAAACAAAATTCTTACATGGCAATTTATCTTACAATCTCCAGCAACTGTTTTTTTTTCCGCTTACTGTAAAAAAAAGTGTATACACAATTACATTGCGTAAATTCCTATGCATTAAAGTGGTCACTGAAGCAAGGGAAAACACTGAGACATTTATTGTTTTTCATCCCGTCATATAAATGAAAACTGACAGGTAGTTTGTCATGATTTCAGTGGGGAATACCATGCAATTTAAAATAAAAATCTGTCAATTATCAGCTGTTCCCTAAGGTTAATCAACTGTATTGGTGGAGCAAATGTGAGGTATGGCACTTTCTGCCAACATTTTGTGCACCAATAGATTTCTTTTATGCCTTGCTACATTTACCACATTCTGATAGTTGTCAAATGGGCTTATAATGTGCCTTGTCAGGTAAATGAATTAGAATAATCAACACTGTGACCAATATATTGGCCCAGTTCTATATGAAATCCCATACAAATACAATAATTATGGTCCGTTTTACAGTTTTCTTCCTTTCTTTTTTTTTTTATTTTTATGAGGCTAGATTCACAAATCCCTCTGCTGGTTTATAGGTTTGGTGGATTTCCAGACCAGAATCTGTGTTGCGTTGTTGAAAGCATTTTAGTTGTAAGATACTTGCTGCTTGCCGCCCATTCACACATGCGCATTTTAACACAACGCAGGTTACCACACAGGTTTATGTATGTTTGGTGGTAGTGCCATTAAAAATGAATGACACACATACAGAACAACAATATGCACCCATGAAACAGCACACACACTAAAATAAAATGGTGCAGGTTCATTTTTTGTGTGCACTGCAAACCTTTTTTGATAGGCTATCTTGAATCTCAGCTATATGCTCAGTGGTAACGTATGGTATGCTTACATTTTTCTACCTTATGCGAAAAATATGGGTATAGCTGATAATTTGTTGAAGGATTTTTGCTATGCAATGTTGTATATTATAATAACATAAAAAACAGCAGCCATAGGCTTTTTAGTATAACTTTCACAAAACGACTTCAAATTTTACATTTTTGTCATATGGCAGCTTACAGTGCAGAAGGATTGAAGACAATAGGACTTTTAAAATTGACATTGACATAACTTTGCCACAAGCAACTAAAGTAATTATGACACCTCATTTTGGCACAGCTGAAATGACTTGATAAGAAGCCATGACAAATGACATATCACACAGAGTGAGTAGTTTTATCACTAGAACACTAAATCAGCATGTCCTGAATTTTTTGCAATTCTCTTAAGTCATCAAATAACAGATCGCTTTATGTATCACAGTATAGCTATATTGCTGACAGACTTGTGTAAAGGAATGTGACTCATCCTTGTTTTATTGGAAAGCCTGCTAAGATGACCAATTAGGTTTAAAGTGAGGTCTAGCTTTGATGTCATCCTGCTAAAAGCGATTAAAATGTTATCACAACACATCACTAAAGGTTGGTTATTGCACTGATAAATTACAAAAATACAGAAAAGCAGCTGATGGCCACTAAATGTATATAGATGACAAGATTCAGCCTACCAATATACTTTTCACATATTTGAGCTTTATTCATGAAAGAATGACCTTTAAAGAAAAAGCCTGCTTATGTCGGTTGTCATTCTCCAAGCCAGATAAATATTTGATATTATCCTTCAGAGCATCTACCACATCAAAACCTGATTTTCCATTTAAACAAAGGAATGTCTATGACATGTGAGTATATATTGCTACCTTTAGAAAATGGACACTGGCAAACTTAAAAAAAATTTGAAGGCCATCTCCGGTATAACCCTGCCCTGAACTATTATGCTTCAGTTTTTTGAGAGAGCAAAACATATGGCCAATAAACATAGTGGCCTGGGACCTGTGTCCCTCAATAGACCGAAAAGAATTCATGGCAAGTACATACATCTTTGTTTATCTTTAAAGTCTTTATTTAATGAAAGGCAGGGATTCACATCAAAATCTCATGATTAGAACATCTCAGGTACAACAGAGTGAAGTAGTCGGTTATCAACATGCATTAAATACAGAACATAATGCAAGAAAGTCAAAGAACAGCAAAGAATAGGTTTACAACTAACAATGCATGATAGACCTCCCAAGGCTGTTGCCTGCCAGAGTTTTATCCCAATGCCTTCTAGCAGTTACATTTTATGTTTATTAAAATAGAAAGAATTGAGAGGGATAAGAAGAAAAGAAAAGAGAAAAAAGGGAGAAAAGGGGGCATGCAGGGATGGTAAAGGGTGCAGCAGGGGATAGGACCAAGAACAGCAGGCACCATAGCAGGGCATGAGTAGAGACCTACTGTAAAAGGTGTGTTTTAGCATAGAGTCAGTTACTCTAAGCCATGCAGTGGACCAGGACTATCCAGAGATCTTCCCACAGCAGAGGGGTGTAATAACTCTTGATATGCAGAAGAACATGAGAAGATAGACTATTGACACCACATGTTACAAAATTTCTCCTCTCTATGATAAAAGGAGGCCATAAGGCTTTCCATATGTTGAATGTTATTGATTTTTGCCAGTCATAGGGAAAGTGGGGGGGCAGTAGGTTGTTTCCATAGGGCTGGAATACAAGCCTGGGCTGCATTCAAAAGGTGTATCATAAGTGAGGATTTACAATGGGTAAGAGGAATGCTATTGAGATATATTAAGTAACTTGTGAGATGACTGCCCAACAATACTAACATAAGCTTAACTACAAGCTGTCTCACTTGTTCCCAGAATGGGTAGATTGTTTGGTATTTTTTTCTTTCCTTTAAAGGCTAAGTTCACCTTTTGGGAAAAATAATAAATGTACATATTTTTGCAAGAAAAAAAAATGTGTATTTATTATTTTTCCCCCAGGAGGCTGCAAAACATTGCACCTATGATCAGTGGAAATATAGGTGTAACATGTAACATGCTCCAGAAGGTGAAACTAATCTTGTAATCTCCATTGAGAGACACAGGACTGTAGAATAGTCTATGACGTATGGGACATCTAAAAGCAATCCAACTAAGTGGGTGAGCAAAGCCACTAGGATAACTAATGGTTAGTTAAGTTGCATCAACATCTGTAGGATTGATTAAAAAGAGGAAGTTTGACCTGTAAATTCCATAGCTTGGAGTACAGTACAGGTTACTAGGCACCCTAGATTATAGACTGGAACCTTCAAGTGATTGGACACTGGCAAACTTTTACGGACACCCCACTAGGTGCCTCCCCTATAACCCTACCCCACATCATAAGTCCTCAGTTTTGTAGCAAGCAATGCTGAGTAACCCAAGATGGAAGGGAGGGTGTTCTTTGCACTGTACTGCACTTTAAGATATGAGATTTACAGGTAAATCAAATCTTAATTGACTTATCTTAATTGTACAGTAAAGGATACAGACAAAGTATTCATAGACTCTGGGATGTTCCCAAGCAATGAATGAGAAGGTTGGGAATCAACTAGGCAAGCCGAACTGGCTTAACAACAACTCAACAGGCTCAACAACAACAAGGGTCAACAGACCCAACTTCAGAGTACTGCTGTAATAATATTGCAGCCAAAAGCTGCATCCATTGTAGATTGGATATCTACGTACCTAGTGGGACTTTGAAAAAGTATAAATGGAGGACCAGGTGGCAGCCTTACACAGCTGGTCTACAGGTGTTTGGTGCCAGAATGCCCAGGAAACCCCCATCGATCTGGTGGAATGGGTATGTAAAAGCACAGGGGGAGATTTGTCCATGAGAGTACAAGCTCTAATGATAGGATTTCTAATATGTCTGGTGATGGTGGACTTGGAAGCAGGGTGTCCCTTGCAAGGTCCTGAGGACAGGACAAATAGGGAATCCATCTGTCTAATCAAAGCTGTAGCTTCGAGGTAGGCTCTATTGACTCTGATTACATCCAGACAATAAAGTGAGATTTCCTTTGGATTCTTTGGAGCAGGGCATTAGGATGGCAGGACCATGTCCTCATTGAGGTGGAAGACTAATACCACCTTGGGAAGTAAGGATGGTCTTGGGTGTAAGACATCCTTATTTTTGTGAAATATGAGGAATGGCTCCTTACAGGGAGAGAGCCGCCAACTCAGAGACATGTCTGATTGACGTGAAAGCAAACAAAAAGGTCATGTAAAACAAGATATGCAGCGCTAATAAAGTTACTAAGAACAAGTGGAAAATCAGAACATGAATAGCACAATAACATAAGTGAAAAAACTCAGTCCATATTGCATGGTGAGATAAAGTGATAGGTGCAATTGTCCAAATAATCCATGGTCAGAGATAATCGTGACTCTTGTGATCTCGTGATTGTACAAATAGTGCACTAACCAGATAGCGCATGAAATGCGCATGGAGCAATTAAGACCCGCTCCTGGTGCTCTGGACTTGTAATATTAGGAGGATGTCATCTGCAGATTGGCCACCAGATGTCATCAATCCAGGTATATTCGTAAGTCATCCACCAGAAAAATCATCAGCCAGCGGGGGAGGGGGTAATCACACATCACTCCAAACCAACAGGAACCTTCAAAAGCGGGGTT